AGACAATAGTCCTTGACCGAATGGGACTTTTGCAAATATTTTCACCTGGGCTGTGGCTTGTCTTCTCACCCTTTTGAAATTGTCTTTCACAAACAGATTTTGTGCAACAGTATTTGATGTTAAGGAAGTCCAGCTTGTCAATTATTTCTTTCATGGATCATGCCTTTGGTATTGTATCTACTAGTAAAATGTCATTGCCATACCTGAGGTCATCTAGGTTTTCCCTATGTTGTTTTCTAGGAGTTTTATAGTTTTCCATTTACATTTAGATATATGATCTATTTTGAGTTAATTTTTGTGAATGTTGTAAGGTCATTTTTTTGCATGTGGATGGCCAGTTGTTAAGTACCACTTGTTGAAAAGTTTTGCCTTAAATTCAAAGTACTTAGTTGAATTAAGCTTTCTTTTTTCTAGACTTTCTTTGTACTTTATATACCTCTTAAGGTGTTTATTACTTTCTATTTTATATTACTACTAGAGGCTGATACACAAAATTCATGCATGGGTAGGATCCCTAGGCCTGGCCCACAATCAGGGCTGATTTGTGGGACGATGAGGGAGGGGGGCAGGGAGGGAGACAGGAACACTCCCCCCCCCCACCCCCCTTGGCTGGCCTGAGGCCTGCTGGCTGGGGGCAGCTCCAGCGTTGAGCATCTGCCCCCCTGGTGGTCAGTGCACATCATAGCGACCAGTCGTTCCACCTGTCTTTCCACCATTCAGTCAATTTGCATATTAAGCTTTTATTATATAGGATTTTCAATCCCTTGATCATTAACTGCTTTTTACACAGTAGGTACACAGATGCTTTGATTGAAGTAACAATGAATTTTATTCCTTCAGTCTGGCTTATCCTTAGTCTGATGTTGTCACCATCACAGTAGTTGCCTCCCCTAGAGGCCTCCGGCATCTCTTCCTGATTTGGTCAGTACTAACTGCTTCCCCTATGTCTAGCTAACAGGTCTTGCTTTATGCTCTATTCAGTACCTGTCAAATTGGCTTTGTAAGTACATCTATTTCACTAGCTTAGAGCACTTTCAAGGCAGAAACTACATTTTAAAAATATTTAAGTTAGCATTAACTGAACACTTACTATGTGCCAAGCACTAGGTTGAGAGGGTTACTTGATTAATCTCAATCCCAATGCACAGTCCATGAGGTAGATACTATTATTATCCCCATTGTATTGTTGGTGAAACTGAGGGTCACAAAGGATCAGATTGACACACAGAGTGTCAAACCTGAACCATCTCCAGAGCTCTCACCCTTAACCATTGCTTAGCCAGTGTCTTCACAATATTGTTACTCAATAAATGTTCATCAAACTGAACTAGAGATTGTGAGTTTGGGAGCCAGGAGAGAAGAAACGTGATGCCAGACTGGTTGTGCATATATCTGGTGTTGGCAGACAGTGTTTGTCTTTGGACAACAGCCTGTGATACTGGAATGGAATTAACTGAGCAAGCCCTGAGAAAATTTCATTTGGCTCAAGACTTGCCAGCCTGAATAAAAGGGCATTAAATTGAGATTTGTAGTGGGAGTGGGATGGGGGAGACGGAGAGAGGCTAAAACTCAGCTACACAGATCATATGACAGCCAAGGGATGACAGGAAAATAACCTGACACCATGGGCACCATGCACAGTCAATGCAAGAAAGTACAGCCCAGATGCTAGTAAGATACACTTGGAGTTTTGTATCACTAGATCATTCATTCATTCAATAAACACGTACTGAGCACACAATATACTCTGCCTCGCTCTCCTGTCTCAGGCCATGCAGCTAGCTCTCCTTTTTGCTTGCTCAGCCTCAGCACCACAGCTTGTTTTCTGCTCCTCATTCTTGCAGCTTTTCATAAGTTCTCGCTTCCACCTGCAAGGCTACCTCCAGATATCCTCTTGGCCAGCTCCTCTTTATTCTGGGCTCAGCTCAAAGATCACCTCTTCAGAGGGGCCTTCTGTGGCCACCCTCCCTGAAGCAGTCTCTTTCTCACATCACTCTTCCGCTTTTATGTACAGCACTTAGCCACAGTCTCAAACTACTTTGTTCATTTATTTACTTGTTATTTGCCCACTAGAACTTAAGTTCCATGGAGCAAGGATCTTGTCTGTCTTATTTATCACTGTCCTCCACTCTGAGGATACAGTTCTTGGCTTAGAGCAGCGGTTCTCAACCTGTGGGTCGCGGCCCCTTTGGGGGTCGAACGACCCTTTCACAGGGGTTGCCTAAGACCATCGGAAAACACATATATAATTACATATGGTTTTTGTGACTAATCACTATGCTTTAATTATGTTCAATCTGTAACAATAAAAAGACATCCTGCATACCAGATATTTACATGACGATTCATAACAGTAGCAAAATTACAGTTATGAAGTAGCAACGAAAATAATTTTATGGTTGGGAGTCACCACAACATGAGGAACTGTATTAAAGGGCCGCGGCATTAGGAAGGTTGAGAACCACTGGCTTAGAGCAAGTCTCAAGAAGTGTTAGTTGAATCAATGAATGTACCTATTATAAAAATGTACAGACTATGGGAAATAAATGAGAGAGCTCAGTATGCTAAGATCTATATATATAAAAGCCTAAGCGACTGAACAACCGAATGAATGAACAACGGAACGACCAGTCGCTATGATGTGCATTGACCACCAGGGGACAGACACTCAACGCAGGAGCTGTGTCCGGTGGTCAGTGTGCTCCCAGAGTTGGGCTCATGGCTGGCAAGCACAGCTTCTCCCACCTCGAGCCTCTCCCACCTCTGCTGCAGCGCTACTGAGCAGCAGCAGTAGGCACAGCAGGGCAGGATGAGTGGGAGTGGCACCCCACCTGGGCTCAGGCCCCTCCCTGGCTGCCTGCTGCTTTGTGCACTGTTACATCCCTTGGGGGATGTTGGACTGCCATCCCGGATTGCGAGATGGCGCAGGCTAGAGACTGAGGCACCCCACTGGTGCACGAATCTGTGCACCGGGACTCTAGTAAGTTAATAAATACCCAGGAGAATTAGTGAGTGATGCATGCCAATAATGGAAGGGCATGCTTTGCTAAAACAAAACAAAACAAAACAAAAAAAACAAACAGAAAAAGATGGAAAAGGAGAAAAAGCAATATTTACAAATACCTGAGGAAGCAGAGAAAGGGGCCTCAGAGGAAAACAGCCTGGATAAGAAAAGGAAAGGAAGAGCTGTGATTTCCTTCTGGAAGGTGTTCTACTGGTTGCCAAGCCCCATTATTCTCTATCCTATCACTTTGCCACAATCTGAAATTAAGTAATTTGCTTGCTCGCTGCATATCATATGTCTTCTCCACGTTAATTTAAGCTCCTTGAGAGCAAGGACCATGAGTGATAGGTATATCCTCATCACCTGGCACAGAAGGCCCTCAAGAATACATTGGGTTATGCACAGAATGCTTAATGAATACTGTGCACCAAGTGCTGCCCTAGAGGAGCATAGTGTGCAGAGGGGAGAGGATTCACATGCAAACAGTGTAACAACCCATTCAACGAGGAGTGAAGGCCTACTGGGTGCCAGACACTATGCTTGGTGCTAGGCCAGTGATGGCGAACCTATGACACACGTGTCAGAGGTGACACGCGAACTCATTTTTTTGGTTGATTTTTCCTTGTTAAATGGCATTTAAATATATAAAATAAATATCAAAAATATAAATCTTTGTTTTACTATGGTTCCAAATATCAAAAAATTTCTATATGTGACACGGCACCAGAGTTAAGTTAGGGTTTTTCAGAATGCTGACACGCTTAGCTCAAAAGGTTCACCATCACTGTGCTAGACGGAGAGATGTCCCTGCCTAGAATGAGCTCATGGTCCTGGGGGTGAGGGACAAGAAAGCTTGGACAAGAGCTGTATGAAACGAGAAATGCCCTGTCTGAGAGAATCACATGGTGTTATGTGAACCCAGACAAGGGACATGTAACCCAGACTTGGGGATCAGGAAAGGTTTATGGGAGGCAGCAAGATGGAACACACTGGGAGGGGTCCTCTTGACAAAAGAAATGGTGAGGTGGCACCTGTAAGGGCAGGGAAGGTTGCAGGATGAGGGAAAAAATTCAGGGAGGTCAATTCCAGAGAGGACCAGCTTGGCTGGAGAGCACTAATTCAGTTAGGGGGTGGGTAGTGGATTAGGTTCCCCTAGGGTGAGTGTGTGGAATAGAAAACTGTCGAAGAAAGAACCCTAGAAGACAAATGGTGGAAGAGGCACTGGCGAGATGACCAATAGGAGGGAAACTAGAGAAAAGCCTGTTGCCTGCTGTGTAATATGGCACAGTAATACTGTGCTGTGCAATATCGGATGGTACTTTGTCAACACTCTCTGCTTCCTACTCTCAAGGAACACCTTGAAAGTATAAAAATGCTAGTAAATATTAGTCTTAGGATTCTGGGACTTAGTATTTTCTCCAGGCAGAATGAGTGCTCCCGAATGGAGCCCCAGAGTCAATCTCTATATCCTCTGGCTTTTATTCTGATCTTTGTTATTGGTGGTGTCTCTTCTCTGGAGGCTTGGGGAATACTGACTCATTTCTTTCGAAGCTCGTAGCCACTTGATAATTGATCCTGAGCAAGTTATTTAACCTCTATAAGCCCAATATCTTCATTTGCAAAACAGGAATCACTGTATCTTTCATAAGGAAAGGATATAAAGTGCAAAAAAAAAGTGCTTAACACAGTGTCAAGAATGTCGTCAGTGGTGAAAAAATGGTACCTACCAATTTTAATCAGCTACCCTGGGGCTGGTGCTTTTTGAGGCGAACATATAAGGAACGCTCTGCCCATCTCCTGAAACCGAGAAGTCAAACTCTGTCCCTGTCAGTTTGTGAGTCAGATAAAAATCTCAGCTCAGCTACGACTCCCAACCTGCAGTGGGCTTCCAGAGACTACAAATCCCAGGATGCTGCGCTCTGGGCCTGGCGGCCCCGCCCCTTCGCGTTGGCCCGCGCCTGGGCGCCGCTCTAGGCACCGCCTCCTCTCGATGCCCCCACCGTGGGCGCGCGATGGAGGCCGGGTGCTGGCTGCTGGGCGGCGAGTTCGAGGACTCGGTGTTCGAAGAGCGGCGGGAGCGGCGCCCGGGACCGCCCGCGTCCTACCGCGCCAAGCTCTGCGAGCCGCAGGTAAGAGGGCGGGGCCTCTCGCCCCCGTCCCGGCCCCCGGTCCTCGCCTGGGTCCCCGGGCCCCGGCCTCCGCGGGCCCCGGCACCAGTGCCCACCGCCTCCCCGGCTGCCCCTGCGCCCACCTGGCCTCCCGTCGTCTCTAACCACCGCGAGGATCGGATGCCTCCCGAGCCCCTCCGGGTGGCCCGGCCGGCCCACGCGGGCCCGGAGGGCGCACGGGGACCCCCGCGCTGTCGCGATGAACCGGCAGCAGGCGTTTGGCGGGCGTCGCTGTGCCGTCCTGTCTTCCCGGCTCTGAGCTCTGCAGAAGCCCGCGGGCCAAGCCGGCCGGCACTGACTGCAGCCGGGCGGGCAGGCAGCGCCCCGACATCCAGCCGCCGCCACTGCTTACACCTTAGGGTGTCCGGCCCCCCCCCCCCCCCAGATGGCGACGGCCCTCACCCCCCGCCAGCGCCCTCGGTCAGTGACTCCCTCCCTGCCCGCGGCGACCCCGCTCTGACGCTCAGAATCCCTCCCTGTGTCCATTGCTCAAGTCACATCGTAAATGCTGCCTCCTCCAAGAAGTGTTTTTTCATATTTTTTTATTATTTTAGCGGGGGAGGGAGGAGAGAAACATCAATGATGGGAGAGAATCATTGGTGGTGCCTCCTGCACGCCCCGCCCGCCCCGCGGTGGGATCAGCCCACAGGCGGGCAGGTGCCCTGGCGAGGACGGGAACCTGGCCTCCTGTTCATAGGTCAGCGCCCAACCCCGGAGCCGCTGACTTCCCTTTCCAACCCCAGATGTTCCTCTGGGACTCCCGCCACCACCACCCGCCCCTTTTAGCTTCTGTTAAAACCCAGAACACCGGCCAGCGCCCCATAAAGCTCTTTGCGACCCTGAATGCTAAATGATCGCCTGGCGGTGGGCGCTTCACTGGGTGCCTTTCAGAGTTGAGAGGATCCTATTATTGGTATGTTTACTCATTATGATCATTTTCATAAAAACTGGGGCGGGGGGGGTCATTAAAATCGTCACTCTTCTATGCCAGGGTGTCTTCCTCTGAGTCCATCCTAAAGAAGTATGTCTTTTCTGAGACTTAATCATTTATTTATGGAAAATTGCTTCAGAGTATATGTTGGAAAGCACAGCTTTTCTCTGTAATACACTCTTTTCACAATTTCTAGTGGTTTTACGGGGAAACGGAGAGCAGTGATGATGTGGAAGCTCTAACCATCAAGAAATTCCGAGGGGACCTGGCCTACAGACGGCAGGAGTATCAGGTAGAATTCCACATGTATAAGGTCGTGCTACTTGAAATGGGCTCTTGTTCCATAAGTTAGGGCATAGTTCAATAACAGGCTAAATTAGGAGTGTTATTTGTGAAGATGAGTTTAATCTTCTGCGATATGTGTTTGTAATCTTAGAACCCCAAGTCTCTGTCCTTTTCTTTTTTTAATAATTCTTTATTGTTGAAAGTATTACTTATGTACCTTTTTTTCCTCCATTGACCCCCCCCAACCTGTCCCCCCCCTACTCCCCACCCCAGGCCTTCAGCACCCTATTGTCTGTGTCCATGGTCTGTTTTTGTTTTGTTTTTCAATATATTTTTATTGATTTCAGAGAGGAAGAGAGAGGGAGAGATAGAAACATCCATGATGGGAGAGAATCATTGATCAGCTGCCTCCTGCACGCCCCTTATTGGGGATCAAGCCCTCAACCAGGCATGTGCCCTTGACTGGAATCCAACCCGAGACCCTTCAGTCCGCAGGCCAACGCTCTATCCACTGAGCCAAACAAGCTAGGGCTGGTCTGTCCTTTTCTATGAGGTTCTATATAATTTGTTTTGTTTCTTGTAACTCCAGTATAGGAATCTTTTGGGGAGCCTTGTAATTCGGATTCCCCAGGCTCTGTATCTCCTCATTATGCGGGAGCCTCTATCACAGACACCTGCTAGTGCCCCAGAAGCAAAGCACCCCAAAGTGTGTAAGAAAAGGGAGAAGCTAACACCTAGGCACCAGCTTTACATGTAGATCTCATTTCATCTTCGTAAGAGTCCTGTTGTTAATTTGCCGATGGAAAGGTTATATAACAAGTTAGTGGCAGAACCAACATTCAAGTCCTGGTCCTGGTCCTGGTCCATTTGGCTCCAGAATGTTCTTGCTCCTATGCTACGATGTTTCCCATGGTAGTAGTGATTTTATCCTCCAGCCATTTATGTTCTGCCTTTTAGAAGAATACTACTGACTGACATCCTCAAGTCTTCCTTAGTTCATGGTTGGGGTCAGTTATGACATTACCTTCTGCCTAGGAAAAAAATCATCCCTGTAACTGAGTCCTTTCTTCTTCTGTGTTTCCCGCCTTTCTTTTCATCCCTTCTCTTCATTTCCTCAACTGAACAAATAATTGCCAGAAAGCACTGCAGGAATATTCCAGTATCTCTGAGAAATTACCACCTACAAATGTTGCCATGAAAAGGGATGTCCAGGAAGGCCGGGCTCGGTGTCTGGCTCACCTGGGAAGGCGTGCAGAAGCACTGGCGATTGCGACGGACTTGGTGAGTGGTCTCATTGCTTTTCTCACTTGTTTCCCGAAGGTGGTTGACTATTTTCTGAAAAACAAAACAAAACAAAAACCAGCTTCTTGCTCACAGCAAGGTCTGCTGCTCACAGCAAGGTCTGTGAATTCGGTGGAGCAGAGGAAAATCGCCAATGGTGTAAGAACTGTATGGTGGTGAACATTTTGGACATAATCATTTTCTTGTCATGTTTTTTCTTGATTATGATAAAAATTCTTCATTGCCTGAAAATCTCATTTGATGGAAGGATTATCAGTGATCTGTTTCCTTCTTTAGGTTTTATTTTTCAAAATTTCTACGATGAACATTATTACTTTTGTAAAGGGGCGGGGGGGAAGTTACCAAAAAAATGACTAAAGATCATACTACGCCAAGCTTTAATAATCCATTTTTTTTTTTTTTTTTTAGCTTTGCGCAGTGGCAGTATCGTAGCCAATGAGGTTTATCCGAGGCCTGATTATTGCTAATTGGGAAAAAAAAATCATTTTTTTCTTAAATGGAATTTGCAGAATTTTTTTAAGGGATAAAGAAAAGCAACTCTTTGCAATTCTATATTCTGCTTGTTTTTGTCTTCAGGTTAAGGCATCTGGCTTGCTTCTGGTTATTTATGTAAATTTTATAGGGTGTTGGTCTCAAGTAAACAGTCCTAGTTTATACACTGAGTGGCCAGATTATTATGACCACCTGACGTTTGTAGGCAAATTAGCTATAATTTCGCGCTGAAGTTGCTAGAGGGCCAGACCATTATAAATAGGGAAGCAGGTTGTTTACCACGACAGTAGAAGTGATTTTTTTTCTGAAGATATGGGTAAACAACACAATTTAACAGCCTTTGAACATGGAATACATATATATATATATATATATATATATATATATATATATATATACTGAGTGGCCAGATTATTATGACTACCCCTACAGTACTTCGTTGGGCCACCTTTTGCCTTCAATACTGTGGCGATTCTTCTTGGCATTAACTCCAGAGATGTTGAAAGGTGATGTGAGGAATCTGACACCATGCCTGATGAATAGCACTGTCCAGTTCTGTGAGATTTGATGGTTGTGGAACCAGCTGCCTGATGGCTCTTTTAACTTTGCCCCACACATGCTTAATTGGATTGAGATCTGGTGATTGTGGGGGCCACCTAAGCAAGGTAAAGTCTCCCTCATGTTCTTGAAACCACTCCTGCACAATATGAGCACTGTGGCATGGCGCATTGTCTTGTTGGAAGAAGCCATCTCCATTGGGATACGCCATCAACATGATAGGATGAACTTGATCAGCAATGATACTTAGGTATGTTGTGCTATTCAGACGTTGTTCCATACGAATTAAAGGGCCCAAATCATGCCAGGAAAACATGCCCCAAAACATAACACTGCCCCCACCAGCTTGAAGGGTTATACTCATGCATGTGGGGTGCATGCTTTCATGCTGTTTCCGCCAAATTCTCTGCTATCTGCATGATGCAACTGGAAATGTGATTCATCGGACCACATGACTTTTTTCCAATGCTCGGCTGTCCAATCCTTGTGTTCCTGTGCGAATTGGAGACGTTTTACCTTGGTAACAGCAGACAGCAAAGGTGTTCGAACAGGCCTTCGGCTTCCATATCCCACACGATGCAGTGTACGGCTAATTTGCCTACAAACATCAGGTGGTCAAAATAATGTGGCCACTCAGTGTAGACGGCCAGTGTTCTTCCTCAAAGGGAACCAATGAGGCGCATGTCACTGATCTTGACCTCCGTGGACCTAGTCAACCAAGGTCAGCCTTGAGTGTGCGCACATCTGAACTGTCCTCTTTCTGGTTAACTAAGGGGAATCCCTAAATCTGCTTGCTGAGGGGGTCACAGCATAGGACCTCCGCCTCTTGAAGTGAGAGGAAACCTTGGGGCGATTGTCTTCAGAACATGGAAAATAGCTGCATTTTCTTCTTTCTTTTTCTCCCCTCTAGTGATTGTGGGCAAATTGGCTGCATATCGTTGCAAGAACCTATTTCTTAGCAATTTAAACATCTCATAGTGGTGTGTGATGAACTGTGTAAAGAATTGCTTTCTGACAGCAAAGGACTCTCTTTTTCATTTATGTTCTCCCCCAATATGTCAGTCCCACATGTGCCTCGTTCCGGGGTTCGTTCTGAGGCGACAGACAGGACGTCTATCCCCTGCACATACATTGCTCATCGGGAGTCCAGTGGGAGAACCCCAAGCCAGCTAACGTATCAGCTCTTCTGTGACTTCCTTCTTTATTCCTAGTATGACTGCCTGGCTCTGCTGCTTCCTAGCTGTGAGGTCATGCAGGTTATCTAACTTCTTTGTTGTGACTCGTTGGTCTCATCTATAAAATGGGGATGAAAATAGAATCTGTTCTAAGGGATTGTCATGAGGATTAAGGGAGTAAAGCACCGAAATGAGCTCCGCCTGCCACATGGTAAGCTCTCAGTAAATATTAACGTCATCATCGCATTCCAGAGGAGGTGCAATGTTCTGGAAAATTCACACCAAGTCATCTGCATGGAATTTAACATCCACAGAGCTATTTACTGGTGATGCTCTCAGAACCCTCCCATCAGATCGTAGTGTGTATGTAACAACCTCTACCCCCACACACTTGCTTTCTCCATATGAAAATGTGTCTGCACAGAGTAAAGCCCACGGAGTGGCTGTAGAACGGTAGTATTTGGTTTAGGTGGTCCAGACACGGTACTTTCCTTATTGTACGTGAAGGACATGAGGAGGTATGACTCAGCAGTTATTAAGCCTCTGTTGTGTCCGAAGTGCTGTGCTCTGTGCTCAGGGTTCAGCCTTGAACGGAAACCCTCTAGGACAGTGGTTCTCAACCTTCCTAATGCTGTGACCCTTTAATACAGTTCCTCATGTTGTGGTGACCCCCAACCATAAAATTATTTTCGTTGCTACTTCATAACTGTAATTTTGCTACTGTTATGAATTGTAATGTAAATATCTGATATGCAGGATGTCTTTTCATTGTTACAAATTGAACATAATTAAAGCATAGTGATTAATCACAAAAACAATATGTAATTATATATGTGTTTTCCGATGGTCTTAGGCGACCCCTATGAAAGGGTCGTTCGACCCCCAAAGGGCTTGCGACCCACAGGTTGAGAACCGCTGGTCTAGGACTTCCTGGACTGTGCTTGCTTCGGCAGCACATATACTAAAACTAGGACTTCCTGGACTGTGGGGAAGGACAGAATACTCGACAGAGTAACAGGAACAGCAGACAGGTTCTGTCGCTTGGGAGACACAGTGTAACCAGGTCGGTTGGGCTTTCTTTCCATCTTTTCTCTCCGTATGTGACTGTTGAGAGGCTGCCCAAGCTTCCGCTCACTGGAGCGCCAGGTCTTCGGGCAGCGGCCTGGGTAGTTTTACTCAGTGCAGTTTTCTGTGGCCACTCGATTTGCATACTAGACGGCCAGGTTTTCCTGTGACTTAAAATCAACTGAAAGGCCATTTAGTCTGCTGTCTGCTCTCCATACTTGAACTTAGAAAAGAAGGTTTGTTTTCTGTAACCCACAGGGCTTTTGCCATATGGCAAGTTAGGCAAGCGGTGGTGGCTCAGCTAAGGAGACCGCAAAGGATTTTCTGATCAGAAGGAAACCGAGCACCCCCCTGGAGCCAAAAACACTGCCCTTGGTCAGAGCAGGGAAGGCATTTGGACTCAATTACGATGCAGCATGAGCTGCAGGGCTGTCCTGCTTAAGATCTAAGCCAAGGGACATCGGACATAGAGTTCATATGAATCCTCAAGGAGATGACCATTTGGGTTTTTAGAAGCCTGGAATCTTACGAGTAAAATGGAACTGTTAGCCTAGGTCAGTGGTTGCCAAACTCATTAGTCAACAGAGCCAAATATCAACAGTACAACGATTGAAATTTCTTTTGAGAGCCAAATTTTTTAAACTTAAACTATATAGGTAGGTACATTGCTATTAACTTAATTAGGGTACTCCTAAGGCTCAGGAAGAGCCACACTCAAGGGGCCAAAGAGCCGCATGTGGCTCACGAGCCGCAGTTTGCCGACCAAGGGCCTAGGGTATCAAAACGTTGGCTTGGATCTCTTAGCTGTGTGGCTGAAGACAATAAAGATGATAATAAACTTGAAAATAAACTGGCAGTGATGTCTTTGGTGCAGAACTTTGTGTTATTGTTATGACATTAGGATCTTGGGAGTGATCGGTGCTCACTTTACTGGGTAGCATATATTTCTCTGGGTTTAGGGTTTCAAACAGATCTATTGAAAAAAAATTCGTTCACTCTACTTGTGTAACTGCTGAAAGATACTTCCGATTTATAACATGTACAGCCTGGGTTGTTAGGAAGCTCCATTTGTATATAGAAAATGTTCTGCAGTGTAATGTTTTTGATCTTTTTTTCTCCTTAGGAAATGAAAGCAACGAACACAGACCATTTAACCACTGTACTCTGCCTCCAGCTTGCCATTTGTTCAAGCTCGCAGGACGCCACCTTCTGCCTTCAGAAACTGGTCTCTCTGCATCCTTTCAGTCCTTGGACCTGGGGCAGGCTGGCAGAGGCCTACCTGGCCGCGCGGCCAGCGCTGTCCTCATCGGCCGCGTCATCTCACAGACAGAGCCATTCCACCTCCAGGGACAAAGCTGTCACCTCCGCCTGTCCACACTCAGGAGAAGACTGTCGTCTGTGTTTCCCTGAGACGTTGCCCGAGAGCTCCGTGTGTTCTGTGGAAACGAGCAGCAGTAAGAGCCGGAAGAAGGAGGAAGCTCTGACGAACTTTCGGGACTCTCTGTCGCTGGAGGCTCGGATGAAAGCGTGCGCCTCCTTTATACGGACCAGGTAAACGGACAGTGGATTGAACCATGTGCAGGATGCTAAGCTCAGAGTAAAGGCGTCCTTTTTCTAATTTTAAGTTTCAACAAGTTCCAGGCTAGCCTTGGAATATGTTTTGAGATGTTTCCTGTGGTCTAGGCGTTCGTGCTTCCAGAGGCCAGGTAGGTCATGCAGACAGGTCGGAGTGAAACGGGGGTGCATCGGGCCAGGTTCTGTCATGAACTCCCCAGGGACTCCCCCTCGCACTTACACCAACTCCACGTTGCTTTCCACCGCCTGCGAGGGCTGATGTGAGCTGCCCTCCCTCTCCTTTCCTCCTCCTTTACTACAGTCTCTCTCTTCCTGGCTGTGTTCTGCCTATAGGGATCTCTGTGATTTGCACAAACATCAAGTTAGTTCGTGTGTTAGAGCCCCTTCCCTCAGCAACCCTCTTTCCCCAGGTGGTCGTGTGGCTGGCTCCTCGTCCTGTCGGTCTTGGCTTGGGGTGACTCAGAGGAGCCGCCTCTGCTGTCCCATCGAAGTAGACACTGCATCCACCCTGCCCTGGATTCCTTTTCATGGCACTCATCACTGCCTGAGATTGTCTTGTTGTTTGTAATCTCTCTCCTTCCATCCCATGAAGCAGAAGCCTGTCTGTTTTGCTCACCGGTGTCTCCCAGGGCCTGCAGTAGTGAGTGGTGTCTGCACAGTCAGTATTTCATAAACACACATGAGGGGCCAGGAGGGAGGGTGGGCCAGGAGACCAGGCTTTGATCATGATGGGGGAGTTCGTGGGGAGGCAGTTGCAAAGTGGTCATCAGGGACTCCTCAAAGACTTGGGCCTGCTTGGGGGAATGGAAGTGAGCTGGAGAGTCTAGTCCTTGAGGTCAGCTGCTGTGGGTTCAGGGACCTGGAGGGTCACAGAGCACCGACCGCGGAAGAACACATCCCAGGATTCTGGGGGCGGAGCCTTTGACAGGAGGCCTGTCCTTGTCACTCCATGGCACGTGTGCTTCTGATCACGTGACTTCTGCAGGACGCCCTCAGAGAGCTTGCTCTCTGAGTTTCCTTGAGAAGCTTGGCCAGTGCCTTTTCCAGACGACGACTCTCCAGTGGCGCGGGGCCTTTGTTCAGGATAAGAAGCGTCAGGGGTTCGGATGAGGTGAGCGCCTGCGGTGAGCCCAGCGGGACTCTCATCCAGCCGAACCCTGTGCTATATCTGGACATCTCACTTCTTTCCTATCTGGGAACCTGCATGTCCGGACGTTTGTGTTTTTCAGGCTCTTGCTTCAGCTCACCCAGTCACAGCAGACGTCGTTTGCTTTGGAGAGGAACCTCAGGACCCAGCAGGAAATTGAAGATAAAATGAAAGGCTTTGGCTTCAAAGAAGACACTCTGCAGCTGATGACCGAGGTGAGAGACCCCTGGGGTTTATGTGAGCGAGGCACCATGGATATTTTTCCTGGCGCCCACACTCTTTTATCAAAAACGAGGTCAGATCTCATCCGCCAAAGGACTTCCGTGTCCTTCCTTTACGTGCCTTGGGTCACTTCATCCCGAAAGCGCCTCTTCCTTGTCTTCCCACTGCAGCCGCTGGAGGCTGGGGCTCTGCCCATTCCAGGTCGCTGCTTGGGCCTGCCCGCCTGCCTGCCTGCCTGCCTGCGCACCTGCATGCCCAGCCTGAGTGGGGGAAGGAATGAGTGTTGACATTTGTGCCAGGCTCTTGTATGTTTTCTCCTTCATTCATCTGCATAACAGCCTGCGGGGCAGGTGGGCTGAGCGAGGCACAAACGCTGTGACTTGCCAAGGTCAGGATGTAAGGGGCGGAGCCGCGCTGGAACCCATCCAGTTGCAAGTCATTGTCTGTGTGCCCCGCCGCCGTTACTGCTTTGATGTTATGGAGACGGTCAGATGACAATCTTTTTAAACATTTGTTAGCTTTTAAAAATATGCTGGCCCTAGACGCTTCGGCTCAGTGGATGGAGGGTCGGCCCGTGGACTGAAGGGTCCCGAGTTCAATTCCGGTCAAGGGCACTTACCTTGGTTGCAGGCTCACAACCAATCCATGTGTCTCTCTCACATCAATGTTTCTCTCTGTCTCGCCCCCTCCCTTTTCTTCTCTCTAAAAATCAATGGGAAAATATCCTCAGGTGAGGATTAACAAACAAACAAAATTATATGCTGTTGAAATATCTTCAGATGACATTTGGAGATTATCCATGTACTTACGTGACTCCTCTTTGTATTTACTTGGAACTTGACAGCCCAGGGACTTTTCCCATGAGAATAACCCTGTTCATATAAGTCCTAATGTCATGCTTTCAAGAAATGCTTACTGCCCTGACTGGTTTGGCTCATTGGATAGAGTGTCGGCCTGCAGACTGAAAGGTCCCAGGTTTGATTCCGGTCCAGGGCATATACCTTGGTTGTGGGCACATCCCCAGTAGGAGGTGTGATCGATGTTTCTTTCTCATCGATGTTTCTAACTATCTCTCTTTCTCTTCCTCTCTGTAAAAAGTGAATAAAATATATTAAATAAATAAATAAATAAAGAAATGCTTACTGCATGACCTGGCTGGTTTTGCTCAGTGGGTAGAGCATCGGCCTGTGGACGGAAAGGTCCTGGGATCGATTCTCGTCAAGGGCACATGCCCGGGTTGTGGGCTTGGTCCCCAGTGGGGGCATGCAGGAGGCAGCCAATCAGTGATTCTCTCTCATCGTTGATGTTTCTATCTCCTCTCCCTCTCTGAAATCAATAAAAGTATATTTTTAAAAAAAATGCTTACTGCTAATCTATGATTGCCTGGCTCCTTTCTCCCTTCCCCAAACTAAGCTCCCCCTTGACTCCTTTTCCCTCTTCTGGGATCACACTCTCCTGTCTTGTCTCTGAGCCTTTTTCAGCCTTCCCCCTCCTCTGGGCTCTTTCCCTTGAGCCCACAGACATGCCCGGGCACCCTGTCTCTCCTGAGCCGACCGTAGCCGTTCCTTCGTCTGATTTCCATCGATATGCAGCTGTGGACCAGTCACTTTCGGTTTCCCCTTCCCTTTGCTCTGAGAGGCTACACTGGTCCGCTTTTCTCCTGGATTTCTCACTATCCCTCTGCCTCTTGAGATACCACTAGCTTCCTCCGCGGCCTAAGTAATGCATTCTCCCAGGTGTCACTTAGGTTCTCGTTCTCTCTGCCTTCCTCCCGCAGCAGCCATAACCTCATAACCGCACCGTAGCTCAGTGGTCGCCTCGGGGCTGCTGACCGTCCAGTCTGTTGGGTCTCTGCTCCCTGCTCTGGAGCGCTTGTCTCACATCTCAGAGTAATTACCTACTGAGCAGTTAATCTGAGATGATTATTGATTATTCTGCCACTTCAGCTACAGAATGTCTAAAATGGAACTGCTCACCAAAACACTTCCCACCTTCCACCAGTGCCTAGCATACGGAGTGCCTTTCACAGCCTTGGCCGTCAGCAAGTATTTGTGGAGAAGCATCACAGGGGAGTTGGAGAGAACCATCTCTTGCTTAGACTTAATTTTTTCCATTGATCCCGTCTGTCATTCTTTGTTTATCCAGACCTGGAACCTCACAGCCGCATCCTCTGTTCTCACCTCTAGCCAGGCACCAAGCCCAGCCTTTCTTCAGGGTCCGCCTTTCATTTCTCTTCACCACTCGCGCCGCAGTCCTTACCAACTCGCAGTTGACTCTCACAGCGACCTCCGGCTCATCCTGCCTTGCTTCCTTACCTTCTCCCCTCAGTTCTGTCTTGAATGTTGCTGCTGAGTTCATCATAAAACAGTGCTTGGAGGACTGGGTGAAAAGGGGGGAGGGATTGAGAAGTACAGAATGGTAGTTACAGAATAGTCACTGGTTTGTAAAGTACAGCACAGGAAATACAGTCAATAATATGCAAGAACTATGTATGGTGCTGGTCGGTACTAGACTTATGGGGGATCACTTCATAAATTATGTACTTGTCTAACCACTATGCTGTACACCCGAAACTAGTGTAAAATAATACTGAATGTCAAGTATAATTGAAAAATAAGATTGAAAACAAACAAACATTGCTTTGACCATGTTACCTGCTTGCTTAAAACGAAAATGTATCAGGTCTGGTTTACAGCCTTGATTATGATGTCCAAGGCCTTACAGAGAGTAACCCCAAACTTCTGACCTAGTGATTCCTTACACAAGTCTTTGCTTCCACTAGAGCAGTGGTTCTCAACCTTCCTAATGCCGCGACCCTTTAATACAGTTCCTCATGTTGTGATGACCCCCAATTTCATTGTTACAAATTGAACATAATTAAAGCATAGTGATTAATCTCAAAAACAATATGTAGCCGTAACCGGTTTGGCTTAGTGGATAGAGCATCGGCCTTCGGACTGAAAGGTCCCAGGTTCGATTCCAGTCAAGGGCATGTACCTTGGTTGCGGGCACATCCCCAGTGGGGAGTGTGCAGGAGGCAGCTGATCGATGTTTCTCTCTCATCGATGTTTCTAACTCTCTATCCTTCTCCCTTCCTCTCTGTAAAAAATCAATAAAATATACTTTAAAAAACAAAAACAAAAACAAAAGAACAATATGTAATTATATATGTGTTTTCTGATGGTCTTAGTCGACCCCTGTGAAAGGGTCGTTCTGCCCCCAAAGGGGTCGCGACCCACAGGTTGAGAACCGCTGCACTAGACTGATCTGCCTGTATCTAATGAATCTGCCATGGGTTTCCCTCCTCCACCTCCTTGCTGTTCCTATCCTCAAAGACCCAGCCAGAATCCACGTCCTCTAGGCACCTTTCCCAGTGCGTCCTATTCTGTGGCAGCTTCTCCCTCATCTGAGCTCAGATAGAATGATGGCTTGAATAGATGGCTCTTTATTCCCCTCCTCCCCCCCTAAGCAAGAACATGTCTTAATCTTCCTGTTGTTTTATCAAAGAGAAACTAATGCAGAATCTGAACCTGATTCTGACCAGTAGGGAGCAGTATTGTGCCTTCAGAGGGCCAGCCAGCTTCTTAAATCTCAGAGGTTGCTGTGGTACCATTTCTGGAAGGATTGAGTCTCTCTGGGTCAGGAAAGGGTGGGCCAAGCTACTTGCTTTGACTTCTTTGGAGAACTTCTAAGAGAAAGAATCTGTGTGGTCCCCGCAGCAGTTATATCTCGCCCAAGCCCTGCTCTTCAGTCATTGTACAAGGAGGGAGAGTCCCTCGCAGAGAAGATGCTCTCAGCTATGAGGAGGTGACTCGGCTTCCTGTGTCTTGACCAGTTCCGCTGCCACATTAGCACTTCTGCGGCTGGTTCACTTGGGAAGGATGAGACCGGAAATGGGGTGAGTATTTTACCCGTGGGGTCCTCAATTGCTGCTTCTGGTCAGACATCTTTTCAAAATGTTGGAACGGTTGGAATCGTCCCTGTGCTGCTGAAGGAGTTCTGCTTGCATGAAATCTTTTACGCCACAGACTGGCGTGGTCCTGCGTGCCACGGCTCGTGCCCCTTTTTTTATTTTTATTTTTTTATTTTTATTTTTTTAAATATATTTTATTGATTTTTTACAGAGAGGAAGGGAGAGCGATAGACAGTTAGAAACATCGATGAGAGAGAAACATCGATCAGCTGCCTCCTGCACATCTCCCACTGGGGATGTGCCCGCAACCCAGGTACATGCCCTTGACCGGAATCGAACCCGGGACCTTTCAGTCCGCAGGCCGACGCTCTGTCCGCTGAGCCAAACCGGTTTCGGCGGCTCGTGCCCCTTTTATTGGTTTCTTTCCCTCCTGCAGGTTATGGGAGAAGATATCGTTCCAGAAAAAATAAAAGACGAGGTTCACAGCGAGGTGAAGTGTGTGGGCCCTGCAGCCCTGGCCGCCTTGGTGATTGCATCTTCGGAAGAATTTGAAGACAAGTGGTTCCGAAAGATCAAAGACCACTTCTGCTCCTTTGAAAACCAGTTCCATACACAGATGCAAATCTCTGCTTAAAAACAACATCTGGCCCTAGCTGGTTTGGCTCAATGGATCGAGTGTCAGCCTGCAGACTGAAGGATCCTGGGTTCGATTCCAGTCAGGCATGTGCCTGGGTTGCAGGCTTGATTCCCAGTGTGGGGCGTGCAGGAGGCAGCTGATCAGTGATTCTCTTTCATCATTGATGTTTCTATCTCTCTTCCTCTCCCTCTCTGAAATCAATAAAAATATATTTTAAAAAGACATTTGGCCCCGTGTTAACTGTCCTTTACTTCAGAGAGAATCCACTGCTAACCATGAAATAGAGTGAATCAAACATGATAATTTGCTTTATAAAAATGGCTTATCTCCCAGGTTCTTTCTATTGTGTTCCGTTTCTTGGATTTTTGCCATTCACCTATCTTAGCCTCCTACCCCTTTATAAGTTATCTGTTGGGAGGTGTGTAAAAGAGGCTTTAAATTTTATAGTCTTTTAATCTTTTTAAACATTTTTATTAATTTAGAGAGGAAGGGAGAGGGAGAGAGAGAGAGAAACATCAATGATGAGAGAGAATCATTGATCAGCTGCCTCCTGCACGTCCCACACTGGGGATCGAGCCTGCAACCTGGCCATGTGCCCTGACCGGGAATCGAACCTTCTGGTTCATAGATCAATGCGCAACCACTAAGCCACGCAGGCTGGGCTAGATTTTATAGTCTTTTAAAAACAGTAGTGTAAGTATTCACTTTGTTTCGGTAAATTCATCAGGGATGACCAAGGTTGTTGAAGGGCATGTCAAGGTCAGTTTCATGGATGCTGCAGAAGAGTTTATTGTTGGTGGCCCAGCCAGCAGTATAAGCTTCAGCCCACTTACATCACTTCTCTTGCCTCCCAGTCCCAAGGGGGTGACACATATGGGCCCGTGGAGTACTGTCTCACCGGGACACGGTCCTGTCCTTCCAGCCGCACAAATTACATCACACTCCACACATCACCTTCAGCAGAGGGGCCATCACCTCACTCGACCTACCTGGGGTGGATGAGCTCCCTCAGAGAAGTGGAATTTAATAAACCGAAAGCTTCCTCAAATATTGTCCCAGCTTTTAGTTTTCTCATTGACTGCACTTCTGTGATAGCCAGCGGGGGAGCAAGCTGGAGGCCGGGAGTGCGGGCAGGGGGTGGGAGTAGTAAAGGTGATGGGGTGTCCGAACGCTAGCTCCCCCTGCAGGAGCAGTCAGGTAGTGTTCACTGTGCCCTGGGACGTCCAAGGCCCTGTTAGGGTCCCTTGGAGCCTGCAAGATACCCTTGGCCTCTGGGCTCTTGCAATGCAGATAGAGACTTTTATTTTTATTTTTTGATAACAGATTTTTTTTTAAATATATTTTTTTATTGATTTTTTACAGAGAGAAAGGGAGAGAGATAGAGAGTTAGAAACATCGATGAGAGAGAAACATCGATCAGCTGCCTCCTGCACACTCCCCACTGGGGATGTGCCCGCAACCCAGGTACATGCCCCTGACCGGAATCGAACCTGGGACCTCTCAGTCCGCAGGCCGACGCTCTATCCACCGAGCCAAATCGGTCTCGGCTGATAACAGATTTTTTAAAATGGTATCTGGTGAGGACCAAATGAATACTGCAGGTAATTTCTAGGAGAGGCTTGGGGGCAGGGTGGCTCATTAGCAGTCAACACTTCCTTCGTCAGTCCTCCAGGTGGGTAATGTGATCCCTAATCCCTGGCGTGGGGTATGTGTTTGGCCATAAATGAAGCCCCCCATCCCCCTGGCCCCCACACAGGACGATCACAGATTTCTTTCCTTGTGTTGCATGGTGTGGGTTCATGTGGGTGTCACCTGCAGCTGACTGGAATTCTCCAGGTACATGTGAGTCTGGGTCTCCGCCTGTGGCTGTGCCTGGAACTCGGTGGGCAGCCCATTGCTGTTGTTTAATTTCACTCGCAGTAGAGACGGTGGGTGTCTCAGGATGGCCCCCAGCGAGCAGGCTGCCAGGGCAGGTGCAGCGGTGACTCTAGCCCAAGCGGAACTACAGGTGGGTTTGGGAGGACTGGGAACTTGGAAAAGGACGTGCTCTGTCCTTCAGCCACCTCCTCGCCTGGTGTGTAAAACCCTCCTGGTCTCCTGGTGGACATACCGTCTGGACGAGGGCCCAAGGCTGGGGACCCTTGGGAATCCAGTCCCACCAGGGAATGCCCAGCCTCGGCTCCCAAGGCTGTATCTGTCAGGCGAAGCTGGGTCATGGTGCAGTAACAAACAACCCCAGTCTCAGTGCTTGAACGACAAAGGTTTATTTCTTGCTCATATTGCTTCTCCACTGCGGGTGGAAGGGGAGGAGTGGGGGGGCTGCTCACCACAGTCTCTTAGGAACCCGGCCCCCTGGAGGGGCCTCCACCTTGAGGCCAACTGCACCTGCTCTGGACGCTCTGGACCAGGGGTCCTCAAACTGCGGCCCGCAGGCCACATGCGGCCCGCCAAAAACATTTATCCGGCCCGCCGGGTGTTTTTGCCGCCGCTGTGTGCATAGGAATTTGTTCATAGTTTTTTTTTAAACTATAGTCCGTTCCTCCAATGGTCTGAGGGACAGTGAACTGGCCCCCTGTTTAAAAAGTTTGAGGACCCCTGTTCTGGACGCTCTGGGAGCGTCAGCCTGGAAGTGACTCAGCATGGAGCTGCCAAGCTGCCTTGTCCACCTCAATCCCCGGGACGCCCCGGCCTGCCCCATCTCTGCCGCTGCAGTCTCCACCGGCCCCACACGGCTTACAGCGGCAGTTGTGGGGCCTCATCCCTACGCCATCGGGCCCAGGGATACCCAGTCTTCCGCCTTCCAGGGAGCAGGAGTTGTCCCCCCTCCCAGAAACACCCAGGCCTTCTCCCGGATCTCTCTCCGGGATCTCTGGGGAGAAGACTATTCCTGCGAACTGGGAAACGGAGCACCTTGGTCACACCCACCCTCTGCTTCTCGACAGAGATCCCGTTTACCCATCTATGAAACGTGGCTGCATCTGCCCTTCTCGCATCCCAGCGAGTCAAAGAATGGTCATGTGGAGGCACTGGCTGCTCTTTGGAAGAAAGGGCCCTACTTTGACCATCTTGTCCTCTAGTTCCCCACCCTGTCACCCTGGAACCTTCTGGAATGTGCTGCGTAGTCCAAACTAGAGAGGGGAACCCAGGGACTGGTGGGGTTGGCAAGTGAACGCTCTCAGGCCTGAGAACATTCGAACAGGCACCAGTGTTGTCCAGGTGCCTTTAGTTGTATGGGAAGCAAAGCTGCCGGACGTTGAGGTGGGTTCCCAGGGGTCCTGGGAGGGCAGCATGGGGGGGGGCCTTCAGAAACGAGGGGAGGCCTGCAGGAACGGCCTCCAGACATGGGCCGCCCTGGGCAGCAGGCCCAGCTGCTCCAGCTGCAGCCGCGGGGGCCTGCAGGCGTTGAGTTTGCTGTGCAGAGCGAGGGGGCTGTCGTGGGGCCTCAGGCAGAAGTGGGCCTGTGGGGCCAGGGCCCCCCAAAGGCCATGGCAGGGCTGAAACCTGGGGGGCGGAGGCGGGTTTGGGGCCGGAGGGCTGCTGGGCCCTGAGGACACGGACAGACTCCGGTTCTGGGGGTTGCTCCCCGTGGAGGGGCTGCTGAAGGGGTTGGAGGACAGGCGGCCACTGGCAGAGCAGCTGCTGTCGCCGGGCGGGGGGCTGCGTCCTGCTCTGGGCGGCAGGGGCACGACCAGCCTGGGGCACTTCAGGCCCATCACGGGCTGGGAGGCGGCGTAGAGGTGGCGGAACTCCTGGTCAAACAGCGCCACGGCCTGGCCCGTGAACTTGGAGAGGATGTTCCGGTGGACGTGTCCGCAGAGCCAGGTGAAGCTGTGGGGAGGAGAGAGGGGAGGGTGGGAATGGGGCCACGCGGGGCCACCGGGACCTTCCTCCGGGGGCTGTGGGGCCACAGCAGGACAGGAAGGAGGGGATCCCGCCCTCTGTCCCCTGTGCTGCCTCATGTCACCCTGCGCAAGCCCTGGAGGGACAGTGGTGCCCCCTTTCACAAAAGGCAAAACTGGAGCTCCGGGCCCAGCCAATGTCGAATGTGGGCTGGCTAGTGAGGAAGTTGCCAGAGCGACTTTCTGGCCTCGGGTCAGGGTGCCTCCTGCTGCTCAGATTATGGCCCCTTAGCGATCCCTGATCCCCATCCCCGATCCCCAATCCCCACGGAGGGAGTGCGGGGGCTGAGAAGGCAGCTCTCCGAAGGCAGGGGCTGTATGATCATGACAATCTAGGGTGTTGGCCCATTTTCAGGCACGTGGACAGGACAGGACACCCTTAAGCAGAGGTCTTGGCCCTCTGTCCATTACAGGTTTTAGGAGAAAACAAAGTGCTCAAGGCATTTAGATGTGACTTTTTATGATTCCCTGATTTAACCAAATTCCTTTCTATTTTTAAAAATATCTTTTTATTGATTTCAGAGAGGAAGGGAGAGGGAGAGAGAGATAGAAACATCAATGATGAGGGAGAACCATCCCATACGCCCCGCACTGGGGATCGAGCCCACAACCTGGGCATGAACCCTGACCAGGAATCGGACAGTGACCCCCTGGTTTTTAGGTCGATGCTCAACCGCTGAGCCACATAGGCCGGGGGAAATTCCTTTCTATTTTTGATGAAAACTCCCCTCATCACGTCCTCCCCCCTATTCCCCCCCCCCACCCAAAAAAAAAACAACCCTTGAAAATGGTGACAGCACAGAAGACCCACCAAGAGCATCAGGTCAGAGATCCCTGTGTCCCTAATCATGTGAACAGCGCGTGGACGCGCTGGGGGCTGGGTGGTCAGAGGGCAGGGCACCCTGAGGGACGTGCCCACCAGGGGCCTCAGCCTCCAGCCCCCAGCCCCAGGCTTGCCAACAGAAGGTAGGGCGGGCCCACAGAGGCTGGGCAATCCTGGGAGGAACAAGGAGGCTTTGTTTTAGCCTCACCTCCCGCCCAGGAGCCGCCCACTCAGCCCCAGATTAATGAGCAGCTGAGGCTGAGCCTAGGGCCAGCCAGGTGACAGGGGAGGTGCAAAGGCAGGCACAGTGGGGCTCCTGGCTACACTGAGAACTCTAACGCCCTGTGTTTGGAATCAGGCTGGATGAGGTCAACAACTACATGCTTTGCTCAGTAAAACAGGTCCGAAGGTGCCCTGGCAACGGACCAGGTCCCCACGCACCCAGAGGCCCCTGCGCTGCCCCCCTGGGCCTTTGTGCAGGTCCCCCACCCCTCGGCCATAGAGGCAGACAGCTCTTCAGTTCGGTAGAACGAATACAACCAGAGAGAAGGGCCAGACTACTGGAGCCCAGGGAGAGCCAGGCTGAAACATGGGGTGAAGGCTTTCCTGTTTGTGTTCATTGGCTACAGCGCTAAGGTCCCAGGGGCAGGATCCTGAAAGGCTAACAGATGACCCTTGAACACTGCCCTGCCCTCTCCCGGAGCCGATTCTCCAGGTTCTCAGGGATGGCCCTGCATCTTGAAGCCCACTGCCCCTCCTCCTGGCACCGCCTGGGTCAGGATGGCACACCCAGCTGGGCCCTGGTGGGCACCGAGAGCTGGAGATGCTAGTCAAGGACACGGGGGACTGGGGGCCAATCACCTGCCCCCTCCTTAGTGCCCCATCTGCCAATGAGAAGAGTGTGGCCTCCCTCAGGGGCGTGAGGAGGATTAAATCCTTTCTGAACCCTTACAGGTCTGATCTCTGATCCCACCTGCCCCGGGGCCTGGCACAAAGCTGCCAGGGTTGACTGCTTCCTGCCGGCCCCAAGGGCAGGGCCTCCCCGTGAGGAGCTCTGTAAGGACAATGAAGTGAGAACTAAGGCTAGTTCTGCTGAAAGTAAGGTTCCCCCTCTTGGTTTTCTCTCCCAGAATTCCTTCCTCTGTCCTTTGTAACTGTCTGGAAATCTTTTTAATGGCTGAATAAGCCTCTTGCCAGTCTCATGGCTGGTTGCCAGGGGCTGAGAGGAGGCATGGGAGCGCCTGTCTAATGGTGAAGGGGTGTGGACATGCCCTCTCAGAGTAGACGTCACTCTGACATAAGAAACAGCTTGCGCTGAGGGAACCTGAGAAACAGCTGGGAGCCGAACTTAAACTGTCTGACTCCCAGGCTGGGCCGCTGCCGCTTCTAGTCCCTGGTGCCAGCCGTAGGTCCCGGGGGATTTGGAGATGCTCTGGCACGAGGGGAGAAGGGGCCGGACGCTGGTGGTTGGGGCACAGAGGGTGGCGCTTGTCGCTTATCGAGGACACTGTGACGTTCAGCGAGCCCGGGCAATTCTGAGTGAGAGGTGGGCTGTCTTGGTGCCCTCCAGTCTTCCCCGGACCACGTCCCCTCCTCAGCCAACGTGACATCCTCCAGGGGCCTGGCGGCCCTCAGGACCAGCCTCCTCTCAGTCCTCACCCTTTCAGATCCTGCCTAATCCATGTCCCCCTCCCCGGGGCCTTGCCAGGGTACGGCGGGCTCATAGCAATCATTTATTGAGCACCCACTATGTGCTAGGAGCTATGCCACATGTTTTGCAAACTTTATCTGCCAGGGAAGATATTGTTATCCCTCATTTTACAGATGAGGAAAGCAATGCCAAAAAGAATCAAATTGCATTCTCTAAATGGGTGAATTATATAGTATATTAATTATACATCAATAAAATGTTATATATATATATATTATTGATTTCAGAGAGGAAGGGAGAGGGAGAGAGAGATAGAAACATCAATGATGAGAGAGAATCATTGATTGGCGGCCTCCTGCACGCCCCCTACTGGGGGTCGGCCCACAACCGGGGCATGTGCCCTTGACGAAATCGAGCCTGAGACCTTTCAGTCTGCAGGCCATGCTCTACCCACTGAGCAACTGGCTAGGGCCTCAGTCAATTTTTTATAAAAAAAAAAAAATTGGAAATAGGAACACATACACGCTAAAACAAATTGCATGGTTTATAATCATATCTGAGACAGCTGAGGAGGCAATAAAAGGATTCTATATCCTGTTGCAATATCAAGGGAAACTGAGGCACCAGAAAGTGACTCTCTACCCTGAAGTCCTCCCAGGAAGGGCCCATTTCCGCCCCCCCTCCCCATCCCCGTTCGTTCAGGCCTGTCCTCCCTCCTGGGAGCTGCAGATGGGGGGCAGGGGTGTGCCCGAGCGCCTGAGGCTGGTGGGCACCACGCTCAGCCTTGGCCTCCACGAAGCCTCAACAGGACCCAGCGCTCACCTGTACGATCCAGAAAGGACGTATCTCCAGTCTGAGATGATGAACTTCTCCTGGACTTGGCCGGCGAACTTCCTGCCTGATTTGGCGCAGTACACCTCTGCTTCCACCCTCCGGATGGAAATGTTCTGTTGGAAGGGAGGTAGGAGTGTTTCTCGCCAATCGCGTATTTATAGATACACGTCTGCCCAGGACTAAGTCTGGAAGGGTGCTCACCAACACGGAAGCAGGGTTATGTCTAGCTAGTGGGACTATGGGCCATTTTTATTTTATCCTTGGCTGAATTCTCTAAATGGCCTTCATTGTCCTGACAATACTCAAAGTAACAGAAGAAAAAAAAAGGGAGGGGGGATGGTAGAAAGCAGCAAATAGAAGCCGAAGGTCAGTGCTCCGGAGCCGTCAGTCTCAGCTCCCATGGACCACGGAGGTCTGGCAGGGGCAGCTTTGCCTTGTGAGTGACTTTAGTGACTTGAGTGCCTGACCCCAAGCTGGTCAGTGCGAAGGCTGAGTGCAGCCAGAGCAGGCAGCTGTGTGGAGACCTCACTGGACCCTCCATTGTTTTGTCTAAAAAAAGGTGTGTTGCCCTAGCCTAGCTGGTTTGGCTCAGCCTGCGGACTGAAGGGTCCCGTGTTAGGTTCCAGTCAAGGGCACATGCCCAGGTTGTGGCCTTGATCCCTGGTAGGGGGTGTGAGGAGGCAGCCAATCAATGATTCCCTCTCTTCGTTGATGTTTCTATCTCCCTCTCCCTTGCTCTCTGAAATCAGTACAAATATATTTTTAAAAAATTAAAAATTTTTAAAAAAATAAATAAAAATAAGTTTAAAAAGGTGTGTCCACGCCCAAATCCTGGTCCTGTTTGTCCCCTTCCTCCCCAGCAGCGCCTGCTGCCAGCGGGCATGGCAGCCTGGCAAGGCTGGAGAGATGAAGGCAGCAGGAAAGGCGAAAGGCGGAGCACTGCTGAGCCCAGGCTCACGCCTGCTGTGCTGGGCGGGCTCTGGGAGGGGACGCCCAATGCCTCCCGCAGCTCCTCTGGCCTCCTCTAAGCTCTGAGGTTGCGGCAGGAGGGCCACCTCCCGCTGTCTCTTGGTGGGCAGAGGGCTGTGAGTGTGGCCTGTGTGAGCCTTGAAGACAAGGCCTGTGCTGACTCCCCTGTTGCTATGGCCTCATGCTGAGCAGGTGGAGTCCAGGTCAAATCAAGCAGACCCAGCCATCAGAGGCCTGGGGCCTGTGCCACCAGGGGCGCCTGAACTCAGCTGCCTGCCGGTCAGCGTGGAGGGGACAGGAGGAGGACAGGCCTCCAGGAGGCGGCCCTGCCTGAGCTACAGGGGAATCACCAAGGAGCGCCATCAGCTGTTCAGCTGGGCCTGCTGCAAAGCTACAGGTGCGTGGACATTTGACCTTGAGTTAGCTGCCCAAAGTCAACACTGAGGGAACCTTATCTCGGTTTCTTTGCTCATTGCCAGAAGAAGGAGGTGGGGAGGTTGGTTAAGCCCCAGGGGATGAGCTTCCTGTTGGGGTCACAGGGTGCTGTCCTCCCTCCTGACGGGAATCACACAGGTGCTGAGGTTGCCCTGACCGTGAGGCGGTGAAGCACCCACGGGTTCCCTCAGCTGAACGCAGTGAAGGCAGGGGCGCCAGAGACTGATGCTCAGCAGCTGCCCGCCCTTCCTGCCCCGGGCAGCTCAGGGAGGTCAAAGGACTATGAGTGGGCCCGGCTGGCGTGGCTCAGTGGTTGAACATCTACCCATGAACCAGGAGGTCGCCGTTCGATTCCCATTTAGGGCACATGCCCGGGTTGTGGGCTCCATCCCCAGTGTGGGGCGTGCAGGAGGCAGCTGATCAATGATTCTCTCTCAGCATTGATGTTTCTATCTCCCTCTCCCTTCCTCCCTGAAATCAATAAAAACGTATTTTTTAAAGAAAGGCTATGAATGGAAGTGAAAATCTCTTCCAAGTCCGGTGTTCATCCCGTGGGACCCCCCGGCCCCCTTCCTCCGGCCACTGCAATCCTGAAGGCCACATCTACCTTATGGAGCTACAAGATGAGGGAGGGCTGTCTGACCTTCACTTTGAGCAAGAAATAAACCTTATTGTGGGAAGCCACGGGCACAGTGGGCACCTATCGCCGTGCCCTGGCCTGCCTTGTTCCAATCCATGGCGCCTTTGAGACTCCCCTCGGGGCCCTACCTTGAGGTGCCGGTCAGAGACCTGCACTTTGTCACACATCTCCTGGAAGAGTGGGACGCCTCCCTGGTCCAGGAGCACGCAGACCAGCACCCCGCGCTTGTTGGCCGCCTCCAGGATGTCACAGAAGATCTCCACGTCCGTGAACACGTCCATCAGGATGGCCAGGACCTGGGCCAGGGCGAGGGGCAAATACCAGAAGGGTCAGATCCAGTGCTAACGGGTTTCAGCGGAACTTAGTCTGTGGGCCTGGGAGAGCTGGTCCCATGGCGCTGTCAGAGGGAAGGGAGGTGCTCACAAGCCCTTGAGATTTCCTGAGCGAGCTCTTCGTCCATGTGAGGACACAGCGAGATGCTGTCTGTGAACCAGGATGTGGGCTCTCACCGGACACTGCCTTGGTCTTGGACTTCCAGCCTCCAGAACTTCTAGCTGGTTTTGCTCAGCGGATAGAGCATTGGTCTGCGGCCTGAAAGGTCTGGGGTTCGATTCCGGTCAAGGGTACATACCTCGGTTGCAGGCTCGATCCCCCACCCTAGTCAGGGCTTGTGTGGGAGGCAACCAGTCAATGTGTCTCTCTCACATTGATGTTTTCCTCTTTTTGTCTCTCCCCCTCCCTTCCACTCTCTAAAAATCAATGGAAAAAATATCCTTGGGCGAAGATAAAAAAAAAAAAAAAAAATTTGAGGATTCCAAAGAGCTTTGGTTTATGTGAATTATAGCTATTGATATTTATCACGTTAGAAACTAAATGTGAGGACATTTTAAAGCATTTATTTATTAATTACTCTAAAATAACTAATATTAGTTATTGAAAACAATATTAAACCCAGTACGTTAATATAAATAACCATTTTAATAAAAAATAACGATAGCTTCCGAAACAACAACAGAATGTAGTGAGCGGAGTGTTGTCAATCTCTGTGGCGTCTGGCTGCACAGGAGACAGCTGGCCTTGCCTGTCTGCTTCCGCAGCAATCTGTTGTGGTGTGTTGTTTGGGTGGAAGTATGTGAAGAGAAACTGCCTCACACAGATAAGTGGCTAAAAAGGGAAGTGCCGTACAGACCCGCTGGAAGGGTCCGTGGCCACACCGGGAGGATGTGCTGATCACGGCTGTGGTTTTTGTGGTTTTGTGCGTTATGATGCGTTGACATCCCAGAACTGCTGATTCCTAGAGATAGCAAACACCTGGCCTGTGAGCATGTCTTTGATGTGCAAACAATGCTATCCAGAGCCGACACCCAACCACCCTCTTCTTCTTCTTCTTTTTTTTTTTTTATAATATATTTTATTGATTTCTTACAGAGAGGAAGGGAGAAGGATAGAGAGTTAGAAACATTGATGAGAGAGAAACATCGATCAGCTGCCTCCTGCACATCTCCTACTGGGGATGTGCCCGCAACCAAGGTACATGCCCTTGACCGGAATAGAACCTGAGACCTTTCAGTCCACAGGTCGATGCTCTATCCACTGCGCCAAACCTGTTAGGGCCCATCCTCTTCTTTAATTCACACACAACAACCCCCTAAAAAGCCCCCGACCTTAATCACCCGGGCCAAGGCCGGGACCACGAGGGACCCTCTGTAGCCCAGAGCCTGCCAACCTGACCCAGACTGGCCAACCTCAAACTGTTCACTGCGCCCTCCTTGTCTCTCCTGCAGAACCACAATCCAGGCTCGTGTCCGTGCTGTCTGCTTGCCGCCCTGCCTCCTGACGGCCCTGGTCCTTCCCGTGTGGCCCTGAGTGGCCCGGGAGCTGTGCCTGAACTCCTTCCTCCCAGTCTGCGTGGCCTTCTGCACCTGGTCCGAGCAAACCTCAGGTGGGAACCCTAATCAGCGTATGCCGGACGGTCAAGGCCAACTTGCCACGCGCTTGCGTGCAGGCGAGGATGTAACCTGTTCATGTTAACATAGCACGAGCATGTATCACTCATTGGCACGAGGCCTCTTTTGTTTGAGCGTGAATACAGGTTGCCACTGACCAGCCAGGTGGGCTTGCTGCTTTGTGGGGCTGCTTTTTGGGGGCTGCTTGGAAGAACTACTTTGTCTGGTGGCTCCTGCAGTAGCAATGGCTACTTGGTCTACAATGAAATCTCTCCTGTATGTGCCTATGACTTCTCATGCCTTCTCCATCTCCTACCTGGCATCCTACACAGGACTGTGCTCACTCTTTGGCCCAAAGTGTAAGGCAGAGCTGCTGTGGCCGCTAGTCTCTGATCCTTGTTCCCGCCCTCATCACTCCCCGATGATGGCCCACCGGTGGGATGGCGTGTCTCCCCACCTCCCGGACCCTCGGCTCTCTCAGACCTGGCCTTTGTGCCGGACACTCCCTGGGCCTGGAATGCCTTTCCCTCCCCTCTCTGCCTGGCAGACTCTTACTCAGCCTTTGAGACTCAACTCAGAGGCCACCTCTTCGTGAAGCCTGCCTTAGTCACCTTCCTGTCTACTTCCAGGCACAGAGGTTGCTCAAGCTCGGGCTGCCACCCACCAACGGATTCCTCACCCCCCACCCCAACCCCGTTCTCCTCTCCTCTCCTTCCTCCTGGGGCAGCTGAGCTCCCCAAAGGGAAGGAGGCTCCTTGTGCTCTGCTATCCTGGCTTGGCTGACAGAATTGCAGGCACCCTGCTGGCATGTGGCCAGTTCTGTGTCCTAGATCAGGGCCGTAGTGGCTGCCACTGTCAGCTGCAGCTCCTCCTGCCGCAGGTGCACAGGTGACTCTCAAGCACAGGCTGTAGATGCCCACTCCGCCCGCCCAAAGCCCAGAGGGGCCAGAATGGACTCCAAGGGAAGAAATGTGTCACCTGCAAACATTCTCCCTCTGTCTCTGATCACTTAGAAGTTAAATTTTGGTTACGCTGAAAAGAACTCAAAAAAGAATAGGCTGATATTTAAGCTCACGTTTTTGTTGGGGTTCCAAGTTTAATGCTGTGTGAAATCCAAAGGCTCCAGGAAAAGCCCCCAGGGGTGGGCAGGCTGTGTGGGGGTGGGCAGGCTGTGTGGGGGTGGGGAGGCTGTGTGGGGGGTGGGCAGGCTGTGTGGGGGTGGGCAGGCTGTGTGGGGGTGGGCAGGCTTTGTGGGGTGGGCAGGCTGTGTGGGAGGTGGGCAGGCTTGTGGGGGTGGGCAGGCTGTGTGGGTGGTGGGCAGGCTGTGTGGGTGGTGGGCAGGCTGTGTGGGGGTGGGCATGCTGTGGGGGTGGGCAGGCTGTGTGGGGGTGGGCAGGCTGTGTGGGGGGTGGGCAGGCTGTGTGGGGGGTGGGGAGGCTGTGTGGGGGTGGGCAGGCTGTGTGGGGGTGGGCAGGCTGTGTGGGGGGTGGACAGGATGTGTGGGGGGTGGACAGGCTGTGTGGGGGTGGGCAGGCTGTGTGGGGGGTGGACAGGATGTGTGGGGGGTGGACAGGCTGTGTGGGGGTGGGCAGGCTGTGTGGGGGGTGGGCAGGCTGTGTGGGGGGTGGGCAGGCTGTGTGGGGGTGGGGAGGCTGTGTGGGGGGTGAGCAGGCTGTGTGGGGGGTGGACAGGCTATGTGGGGGTGGGCAGGCTGTGTGGGGGGTGGACAGGCTGTGTGGGGGGTGGGGAGGCTGTGTGGGGGGTGGGGAGGCTGTGTGGGGGTGGGCAGGCTGTGTGGGGGGTAGACAGGCTGTGTGGGGGTGGGCAGGCTGTGTGGGGGTAGGGAGGCTGTGTGGGGGTGGGCAGGCTGTGTGGGGGGTGGGCAGGCTGTGTGGGGTGGGCAGGCTGTGTGGGGGTGGGCAGGCTGTGTGGGGGTGGGGAGGCTGTGTGGGGGGTGGACAGGCTGTGTGGGGGTGGGCAGGCTGTGTGGGGGGTGGACAGGCTGTGTGGGGGGTGGGGAGGCTGTGTGTGGGGGGTGGACAGGCTGTGTGGGGGGTGGGGAGGCTGTGTGGGGGGTGGGGAGGCTGTGTGGGGGTGGGCAGGCTGTGTGGGGGTGGGGAGGGTGTGTGGGGGGTGGGCAGGCTGTGTGGGGGTGGGCAGGCTGTGTGGGGGGTGGACAGGCTGTGTGGGGGTAGGCAGGCTGTGTGGGGGGTGGACAGGCTGTGTGGGTGGTGGGGAGGCTGTGTGTGGGGGGTGGACAGGCTGTGTGGGGGTGGGGAGGCTGTGTGGGGGGTGGGCAGGCTGTGTGGGGGTGGGGAGGCTGTGTGGGGGGTGGGCAGGCTGTGTGGGGGTGGGCAGGCTGTGTGGGGGGTGGACAGGCTGTGTGGGGGTAGGCAGGCTGTGTGGGGGGTGGACAGGCTGTGTGGGTGGTGGGGAGGCTGTGTGTGGGGGGTGGACAGGCTGTGTGGGTGGTGGGGAGGCTGTGTGGGGGTGGGGAGGCTGTGTGCAGGGTGGGCAGGCTGTGTGGGGGGTAGACAGGCTGTGTGGGGGTGGGCAGGCTGTGTGGGGTGGGCAGGCTGTGTGGGGTGGGCAGGCTGTGTGGGGGTGGGGAGGCTGTGTGGGGGTGGGCAGGCTGTGTGGGGGTGGGGAGGCTGTGTGGGGGGTGGGCAGGCTGTGTGGGGGGTGGGCAGGCTGTGTGGGGGGTGGACAGGCTGTGTGGGGGTGGGCAGGAGGGAGGGAGCGGAGTTCTGGAAAATTTAAATTGAAGGAAACAATGGGTGGAGCACCAGCTTTTCATGTTCCTGGGCTGCTTCCGAGCAGTATCTCAAGTTCCGTGACAGGCGGCAATAGGGTTTGGCAGATGGTCCCGGCAGGCAGCCAGGAGTGTGGGCCGTGGTGGCACTGGCTGTGTGACCTGGGCAAGTCCCTCACCTCCCCAGTCCTCGGATCCCACGCTGGACGAGGGTCCCTCCCAGCACCCAGGGCCCGTTCCTCGGTGTGCTGGCTCTGGTCCCCCTGTGCATGAGCTCAGTGCTCCCCCAGGGGTGGGCACCAAGGTGGGGATTCTTAACTGAAGCTGCCGCTCACAGGGTGAGCGACACTCCCTGGAAAGAAGCCAGGTTAGGGCTTGTGAAGCATCATCCCCTGGCCGAGTCCCTCTCCTTCCCCCTTTCCCACCCAGCAAGGCTTCCCCTCCTGCCTCTGTGGCCTGAGGCCTGCTAACGTCCTTCTTTCACCAGCACAGCCCGTTAGGAATTTAAAACAACACAGATCAGAAGATTTCACCTAAAAGTAAGGCTTTTCAGCTCCTCTTAGCAGATAGGAAGACTGGCTCTGTTGGTGCTGAGTTGGTGCCACCTTCTTTGCCACCGACCCCACCTCTCCCTCTTGCCCCAGGCTCCCACCAACTTCACCCATTTTGTTGCCTGTCAGGCCTTTGCAGGCAGAGTTTGTGATCTACACACACACACACACACACACACACACACACACACACACAGGCTTAAGGATGAATGGGCTGCTCCTGCAGAGATGCCAGAGGGGCTGGACTCCCAGCTACAGGCTGTCATTGCAGGTGGGCTGTGATCCCAGCTCAGAGCCTCCAATGGCTCCCAGCTGCCCACAGTGGGAGAGCAAACTCCTTAGCACGGCTCACGACCGCTCCAGGTCCTGTCCCACCTCCTGCCACTCAACACTGAGTGACGGGCAGACTCTCAAGCCCACCGTGCTCTGTGTTCAGGCCTTGCCTGTGCTGATCCCTCTGCCTGGGCCCCTCACCTTCCCTGCTTTTGCCTGACTGGAGCCTACACCTCCTCGGGACCAGCCCAAGCCTCTCTTTCCGGAAGCCTCTCCTGAATTCCCATGCTGGGCCAGGCCCTCGCCTCTGTGCTTCCAGAGGAAGGAGCCACTCCACGGGGCACATGCTGGTCCCCTGTCCTCTCTGACTTGCCTAGACCTGTCTGCATACAAGTGCGCGTGCAGCGCCTGCCTCCACTGGTGGTCGGGCAGAGAGGGGGCCAGGTTAGAGCTGATGTGCAGGAAAGTGTCTACAGCAGCATGGAGCCTGGGTGGTGGGGACGGGGAGGGAGGCCGAGGCCTGGGCAGGACTATTGCAGGAGCTCAGTGATGAGGTGGCACCTGGGGCTCAGGCGGTGACAGATGGGTTCAGGAAGTCAGTGATCCCAGGTAAGGCAGGGGGTGGCATCCCTGACTCCATCCCTTAGGGCGGGACGCACCCCTCTGCCTCCTCCACCAGGCCCCATCCCTCCCCGCCCCGACAAGGAGCCAGGCTCGGCCGTCGCTACCTGGCTGGTCCGGGTGATGCAGCGGCGGATGAGGTCCCTGATGTTGCTGTGCTTGTCCGTCTGGAAGTACACGGTGGCGCTGGACGGTTCCTTCAGGTAGGGCTTCTCGGCCGAGGCCCAGGTGTGCAGCAGGGCCGGCTCGCTGTCCTCTGAGGCCACAGGGTAGTAGGTCCCTGACTGCAGGGAGCAGGAGTCCAGGCCCTTGGTCCCGGCCTCGGCCCCTCCCGGGGTGTCCGGGGTACAGGGGGGCTCCTTGGCCTGGGCCTGGATGTACTGGGTCTCCGCGGAGGACAAGAAGTCCACCTCGCCTTCCTGGCTGAGCACCTGCCGGTAGGCCTCGGGCCCGCCGTCCAGGAGGGCGTCTGTGGCCAGCCGGGCGCTCTCGTGGTCGCTGAAGTCGGCCCTGGCCAGCCGGACCCACTGGCTCTTGACATCCTCCAGGCGTCTCCGGATCTTGCCCACGTGCCTTGCCCGGCTCATGCTGCCCCGACCCTGGTGGTGGCGGGAGGCGGCACTCCAGCTGCTCCTGATGTCCACGGCGGGGAGTGGAGCTCCTAGCACCCAGCTCCCGGGACTGCTGTGCGCCAGCGTCCGGGGCTGCCTGCCACCTCACGCCCGCTCCCAGCAGTCATTTCCCGCTGCTCTGAGCAATGCTCACCTGGGGAGAGCACCAGCCGGCTGCCCGCCCGCCCAGGCGGGGCTTATCTCTCAGCGACACCTGCCCCGCCCGCCCGCTGGCCAGGTGAGCTGCTCCATCACGCCCTGGCACTCAGCCTGGGAGACACCCTCCTCCCAGCGCAGCGGCGGCCACGGTGAGCCGGCTTCCCGCTTGCTTGTTGCACAATCTCCCCGAGACCCTCGGGTCCTGTTACGAAGCCGGGAGCCTCTCCCAGCCCATCACCTCTGTGGGCCCCTACTGTGCTCCTCAGTTCAACACCCAGGATTCAAAGACCAGGATCTCCCGCGGGGCACATGCTGCCCCCCAGACCCGCCTTCCCACCCGGTGAGCCGGGAAGCTGGGCGCACGCCAGTGCTCCCCCTCGCTCCTGGTGACATCCCAGCTCCGGGTCCTCCCGTGGCTCTGCAAAAGCTCTCTCCCCAGCTCTCTCCGCATTGTGATTGTCCTGGTCATAGAACACGTCGCAGATTATTCCTACCCAAAGCGCGAGAAAGCTACAGAATTTTCCTTCCAACCTCCACTTGTCAGCAGTCAAGGCTGCTCCTAGGGCCACACTAGTTCCCCACCGCTGGCCGCCCTGTGTGCTCACCAGCACAGCTGTGACGCCAGAGAAGGCCTTCAGGCAGGCACAAGTGCGCACAGGAGGAGACTGGGAGCAGCGAGCGCCAATGGGGTGCCAGCAGGGCACTGCCAATATCTGCCAAGAGAACTGTGCCAGAGGCACAGGATTGCATGGCCTTCAATCAACTAGTACAGCAGGAGCCAGAGGCTCCTCGGTGGCAGGGCTACTCTTGGAGGAAGCTTGCTAGAAGCATCTGTGACTCCTGACTCCTCAGAGCTGTGGTCCAAGCGGCTCAGTCGAGTGGTAGAGCAGTATTTTCAAAAGCACGGCCCAAAGAAGAGAAAAGGAATTTTAAAAGAAGTTGTTCTTCCCTTTTGAAGTTATTTGAAGGAATTCAACTTACAACCCTGAGTAATCCTTCCTTTATTCCATTTTACCTCCTCATCACAATCCCTGGAACCTTGAAGAGGACAGACCTAATCAGCTCTCTCTCCCCCTGTGGCCTCCTCAGTGCCATGCCAAGACTCTGGTTGAGTCCTTTGGAATAGACAGCAAATACACGCTCTGTGCTGTCACACCCAATCCCCCGACTCCTGCGCTCCTGGCAGACATTACTAGTTGATCACAGAACTCTTTCCTTGGGAGCTGGGAACTATTCCCTCACTGCTTGTTAGAGAACTCAAATTGGAGTCCTCATCCATTGATTTTTAGAGAGAGTGGAAAAGAGAGGGAAAGACAGAAATATTGATGTGAGAGAAACACATCAATTGGATGCCTCCTGCATGTGCCCTGACCAGGGCCTGGGCCAGGGAGGAGCCTGCAACCCAACCAAGGAACGTGCCCTTGACCAGAATCGAACCCTGGGCCCTTCGGTCCACAGGCTGACGCTCTATCCACTGAGCCAAACCAGCTAGGGCTTGGATGTACTTCAAGTGCTCCAGCTTACTGATGGGTAAACTGCAGCCCAGAAAGGGAAAGTGACTGGTCACACAGCTGGCCAGTGATTGTCATCATTGTTGTCCCCCTCTCCTCCCCTCTGCAGCCCCAGCCCTGTGAAGTGCCATCATTCTTGCTGGGTCCCCTGGCTGGGATAAATCCCCCCACCTGGGGTTGCATTTCTGTACCAGGAAGGCTGGCCAGCTGTGGAGACACACCTTCCTACAGGGAGACATCCTTATCAAAGAGCCGTCTGTTACAGCAACTGAGGATTGCGAAGGGCCTACTTCTCTGTCCTGTGGCCTGAAGTGTAGTCTTTTCTGCTCCTGAGGACACCTGACAATGAGGGAAAGAACGAGAAGCCAATGAGAAGCCAGGCTCCTATGAGTGGCTTCCGGGCTTCCTTTATTAGGACAATGGTTCTCAATGGGGGGGGGGGGGGGTGGATTTGGATCCTCCCACCCAGGGGGCATCTGGCAATGTCTGGAGACATCTTTGGTTGTGGCAACTTGGGGGTGGGGTGATGCTACTGACAGCTGACAATAAGAACTCTCTGGCTCCAAGGTCAATAGTGTTGAGGTCGAGGAACCCTGGCGTAGGGGACAACTGACCCTCACCCCTGTGGGAGGTCCTTCCAGCCCCTGCCTTTATCCACCCCTCCCCTCATCAGGAAATCCTTGCCTCCACCTGGACAACTTATTCGAATCTTTCTCAGCGTTCAAGGTCTCTCTTGATTCCCACCTATGCAAGGGAGCCTTTCTTGACAATCCCCAAGCAGCTGGACTTGCTCCTCTTCTGCGCCTGAAGGGGCTGGTAGCACTCATCTCGGTCAGTCTCGCACTAGTTATGGGTGCACGGCCTCCTCGCCCTGCATTTCATTCCCAGTGTGCACAGCAGCAGAAAGCGTCCATGCCTTCGGAATCGGCACAGCCAGGTTCATTGTGCCTGTGATACTAGGTGACCTTGGGTAGCTAAGCTCACGGAGCTTCACTTTTCTCTGTCCATATGGTCACAGCTAACACTTATGGAACACGTCCAGTGTACCAGGTGCTCTTCTAAGTGCCGTGCGTGTGTTAACTCACTCGATCCCCCTAGCAGCCCTAGGAGTCAGTGCTGTTCCCATCTCTCATGGATGAAGGAAACTGAAACACAGAGGTGACCTACCGAGCTTGCCCAAGGTCACCTGGCCTGGAAGTGCAGTGCCAGGCGCCACATGTGAGTGGTCTGGTCCCAGGGTCCACCTGCTAACCACCGAACCTTCTGCTTCTTTCCCGGCATGAACCCCAAAGGGCGTGAGACCTACGGGAGAAGGCCTTGCCCCATTTCTGCTCTACTCTTTTTATTTTTAATATATTTTTATTGATTTCAGAGAGGAAGGGAGAGGGAGAGAGACAGAAACATCAGTGATGAGAGAGAATCATTGGTCAGCTGCCTCCTGCACGCCCCTAATGGGGATCGAGCCCGTACCCCAGGCATGCGCCCTCGACTGGAATTGAACCTGGGACCCTTCAGTCCTCAGGCTGACACTCTATCCACTGCTCCACTCTTTAGCCTAAGACAGCACAATATTTTTCTGAGCCTTTTACATAGTTGATCTAGTTGAAACTTTACAACTGAGAAGCCTGTCAGACCCCACCCTAATCAAGCGATCACAGTGGTCCTTCTCAATAATGGGACAAGTCGAACCAAAGCTTGAGCCACCTGACAGGATGCGGTGAGAAGAGCACGCCATCACTTCTGGGATATTCCTGCCAAATGCACAACCTGGATTTTTACTGTTTAATTTTTTAAAATTTTTAAAATTTATTTCAGAGAGAAAGGGAGAATAAAAGAGAGATAGAAACATCAATGATGAGAGAGAATTATTGACTGGCTGCCTCGCACGCTCCACGCTGGGGGTCAAACCCGCAACCTGAATATGTGCCCTGACTGGGAATTGAACCAGTGATCTCCTGGTTTATAGGTTGATGCTCAACCACTGAGCCACGCCAGCTGGGCATTGACTGTTTCTTTAAAGTGTTTTTCAAGTGACCCCAGAAGGAAGAGCCAATCAGGCAAATCCAGACTATGAGACGTCCTAGGGGAGAGGACAGCACTGGGGACCAGGGAGGGAGTGGATCGTCTCCTTACATACACACTGCATCCTACCAGCTCTGCAACGTGTTTGTAGGTGAGGAAACTGAGGCAGAGGGAGGTGAAATACAATCCTCTGGGATCCAACGGCAGAGCCTGGATTGGGTTTGCCTCCAAAGCCTTCACTCCCATCTGCTGGTTTAAGTGAGAATCTTCTCCTTTAGACTGTGAGCAATTTGGCGTACGGGGTAGGAGGTCAGGCAAGTCATGACTTAGCTTTTGGCACCACCACCCCAATGCCTGGCCCAATTTGGAGCTGGCAGGTAGTAGGCATTCAATCAATGCTTGTTGGGTGAAGAGATGGGGCAGAGGCCAGCTAACCCAGGTAGAATGTACACACATGGGATTCCAGAGGGTGTCTGGGGGCAGCCACACTGAGAGCCTGGCCTGCAGGCCCAGGAGCCTGGAGGAGCAGGGGGCCTGTTTGGCCTTATGGGGCAGCTGCCACCCTCTCCCTACCACTGCCCCATCAAGGCTTGCAGCGGCATGAAAATAGTATAGACCAGTGGTCGGCAAACTCATTAGTCAACAGAGCCAAATATCAACAGTACAACGATTGAAATTTCTTTTGAGAGCCAAATTTTTTTAACTTAAACTATATAGGTAGGTACATTGTTATTAACTTATTTAGGGTACTCCTAAGGCTTAGGAAGAGCCACACTCAAGGGGCCAAACAGCCACATGTGGCTCGCGAGCTGCAGTTTGCCGACCATGGGTATAGACTCATGAGCAGTGACCTGAGACATGCGATTAGGTTGGAAATTAGTTGGCATAATTCACTAGACGGGTAAATAGCTCGCTGTCAACACTGATCAGTCCATTCTGCATATAATCAGCTCAGCACAGCAGGCCAGGAGCCCAGCAGTGTTCCCGCGGCGGTCTTCAGCGGCTCATCCTTGGCACCCAGCAAAACCACAGCTTACTTCACAGGGCCCACGCTGCAAAGCCCCTTTGCTCTCTCAGATCCCTACTTTCTTATTTTTGGTTTTATTTATTGAGAGAGAGAGAGAGAGAGAGAGAGAGAGAGAGAATGGAAGGGAGAGAAAAACATTGATTTGTTGTTCTATTTATTTATTCATTCATTACTTCTTGTATGTGCCCTGAGCAGGGATTAAGCCTGCACCCTTGGCATATTGGGATGATGCTCTAACCAACTGAGCTACTAGGCCAGGGCAGCGAGTTGTCTACTTTTGAGTTCCTAGTCCATTGTTCTCGATTTCTGATGCATGAAAACGGTGGCAGCTCCAATTTTGGCCAGCAAATTTGCAGAAGCTTTAAAAAATTACAATGAAAATTAAGGTATAACTTAGGTGCAGTAAAGTTTACCCGTGTTAGTGTACAGCTCTATGAGTTTTGTTGAAATGAATACAGTCATGATCAAGATACAGAGT